TGGAATCATCATTCTTCTCAAAATGCAACATTCTGTAATTTGCTGTCTCTGGAAATTCAAACATATTTTTTTCTGACACACATCGGTTGACAATGAGAGGGAAACAGTGCAGCCCAAGTCAAGCAATGATTCTGTCAGAACCACCGGAAGGGGGATGGGGTGGGGTGAAAGGGAAAAGGAGAGAAACTGAGCAGACAGCCGCCGGACTCACTGTTCTTAGTGTTTAGCCTCAGGAGAACTTCTCAGCATGCACAGAGCCCTTCACTTTCCACTGGTGAGCAGAGGGGCATGGTGTGAGCAGGGCACGGATGAAAGTTAACAGATAGTATAGTTACTTCTCATTGTCTTGAGGGACATTGGGGTATCTTAGACTATGTTACAGGTAGTTATGGCTCAGATGGGCTTGGGACCTGCTTGTCATTTAAGATGCTACCCCACAAGCGGGGCGGTGGTGGTGCACACCTTTAATCCCAGTACTCAGGAGGCAGAGGCAGGCGGATCTCTGTGAGTTTGAGGCTAGCCTGGTCTACAGAGCGAGATCCAGGACAGCCAGGGGTGCTACACAAAGAAATCCTGTCTCAAAAAAAAAAAAAAAGAAACAAACCCAACAAAAACAAACAAACAAAAAGCAAAACCAAAAAAGATGCTGTCCCATTCATAATAAACTCTGACCTCGTTCACCCCATAAGATGTAGTCACTTTAGGAAGAGAGGTGTCAAGGGTAGGGTTTGGATCTGGGGTGGTGGTGGAAGCCAAGGTCCCTCCTTCACCTCTGCATCAGTAAGAGTTTCCGTTAATGCCGCTGACTACCCATTCTCTTTCTGCTTGTGCAGAAATATTTTATAAGCCTCTGCTGACTTAACCAACAGATTCAACTTAGCAACCAAGGGCTTCCCTCCTCAAGCAAACATGGAGAGTGTGGTAGTTAATCTTGGTCGTCAACTTGGTAGGAATTAGAATCACCATAGAAACATGCCTCTGGGGGTGTCTTTAAGGACGTTTCCAGAAAGGTTGAACTGAGCAGCAAAGACTCACCTTGAATGTGGGTGGCACCGTGTCATGGTCTGGGGGCCCAGACTGAGTGGAAAGGAGAAAGCCACCTGAGCACCAGCACGCACCGCTCCCTCTGCTTCCCAACTGGACATAATGTGACCAGTGGCTTCATGCTCCTGTCTCTATGCCTTCCCTCCCAGGGTGGACCACAGCCCCAGGCTAGGAGCCCAAACAAGCCCTTCTTTCCTTCCTCCGCGGTTTTTCAGGGATTTTGCCACAGCGGTGAGAAACAGTTAATACAGAGGGTCTAGATAGGCAGAGTAAAGATACTTGTGATGGAGGGAAGAAGTGAGAGAAGGAAGTACAGGCAACAGGAAAGAACAGAAAGAAATTAATATTTGAAGGCACGAGTGTAGCATTCCACAGAAAACCAAGGCCTCTGTGGAATGGTTTGAGCTCTTCCTCCAGGGACATGGCAGTGGACAGGATCTGAGTGGATGTGGGTCCCGTCTTATCACTTATCTGCTAGTGCTGTTCCGTCACAGGTTTGCCCTTTCCCAGGACCATTGACCCAGAAACCCTTCCCTTCTGCCTAGTTTGGAGGGAGCTTGCTCAGGCCATTTGCAGCCTGCAGGGCCCGGTGAAGACTGTTGGCTTCATTTTGCCACTGCTCAGATAACTAGCTCTAATTTTAGCTCTAGATCTAGTTCAGAACTGGTTCATGTAATAACTAGGTGAAACTTGGCTTCTGGTAAGAGTTCTAGGCCCTGTTCTCTCGCCGATTCCCACTCTCCTCTCTTCCTCACCCACTCCCGTTTGCAACCCACAGTCTTAAATGGTAACACAAACACATTTCTGGGTTATTTTCAGGGACGTTAGAGATTAAAAACAAGACAACGCCCATGAAAGGGCATTTCAGAGGTGAGATGTCAACCCCATGAAGTTTCCTTTTTTCAGAACAGACTGTTCCAGATGAGGTGTGCTGATCAGTTTGTGAGTGAGGACAGAGTAGAACAGTTGCTTTCTAGATTAACAGCCCAGAAAATCCATCTAGAGACAACTTGAGAAGGAATGCAGCCCTAGAGCTTTAGAGGTGTGAAGTGGTTCTTGAAGTCATTCAGTGAACAGCAAGACTAGACATCAGGTACCCAAGACTCACCCTGCCTCCAAACACACACACACACACACACACACACACACACACACACACACACACGGCAAATTTAGTGGGAGATATAAGCTAGTTATCCTACAATTATAGGTTACTCTAACTGCAGCCTTCAAAAATCTCACTGAACAATTCACTTAAGTGTTGCGGGCCGAACCACCTAAACACCTGTTGGAGGTGGGGGGAGAAGGCACAGCATCAACAACGCAGACACGGGGAGTCAGATGAGAAGCAAAAGGCAGACTCGTTTATTTCAGATACGGGGAAAGGAGCCTAAATACCCCTTCCCGGTACCCCATGGCTGTTGGCCATTTCCTTGGCTGTGTTGGCCTTTTCTCATTGGCCTCATCATTCTGAAATTCATAGGTCACCAATCACGGAGTGCAGCAGCAGACTCCAGGTTGACTCAAGGGAAGTTGTTATTGCGCATGTTTATGCATACCACCAAGGCTGTGGCAGCCCCACCAGCCAGGCTGGCTCCTTTTCTCCCCACGTGTAAGATTTTTCTTATGTTTAAATTATCTGCATTGGAGAAATAGGGTTTAGAATTTGGAAACTTTTAACCACAGTGCCTGTATCAGTTATTTATCTTTCCCTTTCCTAGGATGACGTTAGATTTCCCCCTTTATTCTCATCTTGTAAAGGTGAAGGACTCTTTTAGATATTGCTTTAGGAAGCTCTAGCCAGGAATCGTATCTCCCTCCTGTTCTGTACCCTTATGTCCTCGTGTCACCCATCCCAGCATGATGTAATTATTCCTAAGGAATCTTTCCATGCTGCCTGTGTGCTGGGTGTAGCTCAGTGCTGGACGCATCAGTAGGCTTTCAACAAATGCTTTATGAACTAAACTGAATAGATGCAGACCTTTGCTTTTTTCATATTGCTGATATACGAGTGCTGTGGGATGTCGTTCTGTACGCTGTGAATGTGTGTTGCTCTGAGTGGTTGATAAATAAAATGATGATTGGCCAGTAGCCAGGCAGGAAGTATAGGTGGGATAAGCAGACAAGGAGAATTCTGGGAAGAGGAAGGCTGAGTCAGGTGTCGCCAACCAGACACAGAGGAAGCAAGATGACAAGGCAGAAATGAGAAAAGGTACCAAGCCACGTGGCTAAACATAGATAAGAATTATGGGTTAATTTAAGTGTAAGAGCTAGTCAGTAATAAGCCTGAGCTAATGGCTGAGCAGTTATAATTAATATAAGACTCTGTGTGTTCATTTGGGTCTGAGCAGCTGCAGGACCAGGTAGGACACAGGAAAACTTCCAACTACATATGAGTTTTAGTTGTGAATTAAAATTAGGAAAAAGCATAGGGAAAAAAAGCTTTTTTAATTTTAGGTGGATTTTGGTTCTTATTTGTTTTCTTTACATTTCATTTCTTAACAATACTTCCTTCATTTTTTTCCCTTTATACATAGAGTAATGATCTGCTATTAATTACTTTGTGTTCTACAGTAAAATCAAAGTGAGCTGGCAGAATGCTAGGGCCTAATTACAACTTGTACATTTATTTTGTCTTTTAGTTACTCATCATTTCATACTCAGAAAATATTAATATCTTTCTAATTAGTTTAAAGAGAAAAATTTATAGATACCTTAAAATCAGTCATTTTCTTAAGAAAAGAAACTAGCCAGAATTCATTCTCTCTCTCTCTCTCTCTCTCTCTCTCTCTCTCTCTCTCTCTCTCTCTGAATATAGAGGACTGGAATTATAGAATTAAAGTATTATTTATTATTTATGTTTGTTTTTTTTTTCTCCAAGACAGGGTTTCTATGTGTAGTCCTTGCTATCCTGGAACTCACTCAGAGATTCACCTACGTCTGCCTCCCAAGTGCTGGGATTAAAGGCATGTGCCACCACAACCCAGCTTGAATTTAAGAATTTTTTATAGACTATATGATCACAATAAACTATATCTACTAAGAAATGTCTCTTGGAACTGTGTGAGGCAAATCTAACTAGAATTCTTGAAGTAAATGGTTTCTGAAGTTCACAGACTGCAGTTACATATTTTCTGTTTATTGTTAGTGTCTATACCGTGTGTATGTATGTGGGAGTGTGTGGAGGTCAGGGAACAGCTTGCTCGGAGTTGGCTCTTCCTTCACTTAGTGGCGGTGTTTGTCTTGTTTGGCTGTGCTGAGCATTCCAGGTCCTCTGGCCCGCCAGCTTCATGGTGACCCTCCAGTCATCTTGCTGTAGGACTACTCAGAATTGGTTGGAGACAAGGCTGACCCTGCTCTTGAGTTTGGAAGGACACAATAGTGAATTCCTTTTTCTGAGGCTTTGGCTAATAAACGAGGAATTAAATGTTTGCACCTGAAGCTGTGATTCATTTTGTAAATTTTCCTGAACCGAGGGGAACCGTGAATGCTCGTCACGGAGTGAAAAACGCCGCCGCCGCACAGTACTTCTGGTCAGCCTGGAGTTCCTTCTCTCCTGTTGTGTCCTTTAACTCCGTGGTCCGTGGGTTACCAACAGCACACACAAAGCCATATCTTGGCAGTGAAATTCCATGAAGTCCATTTGGAGGATCAGATTCCCACACCTGTCTTTAGCTCTGAACGCAAGCCGCTTGCCACATTGCCCTTTCACATGTAAAGCGATAAAGTTGTATTGGACACTGCCCGCATAACCCAGCGAAACTGCTCTGCTTCGTTAACCCGGCAGCCCTCATTGAGGCATCCACCTAATCCCACTGCGCGTGCAGCTTCCTGCTGTACTCTTTGGTCTCTTCTGGGTCTGGGACTACCCTCCCCATGTGCTGCTATATTTATCTGCCTCCTTGGCCATAAAAGGCTGGCTGTGGGGCCCTGACATTCTGCTGCCTGACCACATGCATTATTTTTGAACTGGCCCCCAGATCCTGCCTCTAGTTCTGCCTCTTGACTTTTTCTGGGATTCGGCCACCCAGGATCTCCGTTCTCTCCTCCTGCTCCCCAGCCGGCTGCAGCAGTACAACATCCATCCCCCTGCCCTCCCTGCCCCCAGAGACTGGTAAGTGTGACCCAGAGGCGGTAAATGCACTCCTCAGCTTATGGCTGTCTTCTCAGCTCAGCAGGGAAATAACAGGGTCCACTCCTGGAAGGGGGAGCAGGGCTGCAGGGTGCCTGCTGAGGACAGGGGTGGGGTGGGGAGGGGTGGGGAGGGGTGGGGAGGGCTATTTTGCCTTATCACTGTGGTCTTGAAGCTGCTAACCCCGGAGCTATAAGATCATATTGTCTCAGATTCAACTCAAGGACTCTCTCCAGGTTCAATAGTTTGGTTGAAATCTGGACTGGATGAGGGACAGGAGGCAGAGAAGTGTTTCCCTCCTCTGCATGCCTACAGATCTATCTGTCTCCCTGAGTGCAAATTAGGCCAGAAGGATACAGATTCTCTTTATAGACACTAGTTCTCGATCTGGTGACTTTGCTCCAAAAGCGCAGCGTGGATGAACTCTCAAGTGCAGGGTGTTATTTCTGACCTGAAAATGGTCGGGTGCTAGAGAGGTGGCAGATCTGGCACTGTGGCCCTGAAACTATCACCTTCTGTAAGTAATTTTCATCAGCTTCTGGCCTCTGCTGCCCGGATTAAGAGTCTATCGCAGCAAGATTATAATTATGGAGTTAGTATTTCTTCCTAAGCTCCCAAATTATTTTTAGGAAGAAAATTTAGGTTTCAGAGGCACAGAAGACCACAAAACCATCTTTCTTTCTAACAAATTCTGCCTAAACCTGGCTCACTTAAGAAAAGGAAGTGGTTACACCTTCGTTCCAAAGGTCAGTCAGCCCTGGTGACTTAAAGTCAAGCCCTGTTTACTGGTAATACATGACCCCTATGTACTAAGTAGTAAGTGGTAATAAAATAAATATACTTGGGGCAGATAATGAAGAGTGGAAAATAGAATTATGGCAAGGCATTTAAATAATCTGTCTTGTGAAAATGATAACATTTTGAATCATCTGGGTAGTGGTGCTAATTTATAATGTAACACAGTGAAAGATCTTTATTATTTGTAAGTCATTCTGATGGTGTTACAGAGACTTCTCTAACACTTCATGACACTAATATCACTCTAGATTAATGTATCCTAACCTTTACATTATAAACATTATCTAATAATTGGTCATCAAGTACAATTCTGTGTATTTAGCAACAAAAAGCAATCTATTTGAGGGTTGAAACAGAGTTGCTTTGCTAGTGGCTATTTTTGTTTTTTTCTTCTTAGGAAATGCCATGTAGACTGGTATTTTCTATGGGACCTAAGATGCATACTTCTGGATTTTCTTTCTTTCTTGACTCTTTAAGTAGCTTAAATAAAATTTAGTTTTAAGTTTGACAAAAATTAAAAGGACTTACTTAGTCCTTTTAGATCCTCACTTAGGATTTTTTAAACAAAACAAGGTTTGAAAAAAAAAACTACTTGAAAACAATTTTCTTACGTATTTTTGAAAATAATATTTTAGAATATTATACATAAGAGCATTTTTTTAAACATGGGGGAAGTGTCTATAAAATTATGGCTTGCCCTGGTTTGCCACGTGGCTGATAGTCTTCCTTTCGGGGGACATGGTATTTACAAGAGTGAATGTGTGGGCTCTATGAGTAAAGGTACTTCCTGCCAACCTGATGACCTGAGTTCCATCCCCGGAACCCACATGAGGGAAGGAAAGAACAAGTTGTCCTCTGCCCTCCGTGTACACGCTGTGACACAGTGCACCCCACACAAAATGAAGTCATTGATAGACAGATGTAAAAAAGAAAAGTAAATACAATGTGAAGCCTCCCCTCCTGAGGCTAAACCAGCAGCCCAAGTCCACCCTGTCAGCTGCCACTCTGAGGCCTAATTCTTCTTTATATAGTAAGAATCCGAATCTACATGTTTTTATATGGAATAAATTCTTTTTCTGGTTTGAAAAAGTTGCCTTTTTGAAGTGTTTGCAAGATTTGGGAGAACTTGTATCCATAAGAATTACTAGACCCTGGTTTAGTTCTAGGGCATTTCTATCTGTAGTCCTTCTCATGTGTCTTCCCTCACCTTGGAAAGGGTGTCACTGGGCAGTCTTAGCTGATCTGAAGCATGCAGAGACCAGGCTGGCCTTGAACTCACAGAGATCCATCTGTCTCTGCCTCCAGAGAGCTGGGATTAAAGGTGTGCGCCACCACCCCAGCAATCTTCTTGGTTTTCAGTTTCACCTACACGCTGTTGACGCCGAGATTTAGATGTCCATCCTACACTACGACCTGTCCTTTAAAGTCACACATCTGGCTTCCCACTTAACCCATCAGCTGCAGGGGGCAGCAGGTGCCTCAAATGTAGAACATCTCCGACCCGTCTCTTGATTTTTCCATTCCAAGATGATACTTTCTTCTCTTTCCCATCTCAGATAATGGTAACTTCAGTCTTTTAGTTAGTCAGGCAACAAGCCTTGGGAACGTTTCCTTTTCCTTCATGTTCTCATTTGGGACGTCCAGTGGATGCCATTGGCTGTACCTTCAAACCATATGCAGAGTCTGAGCACTGTGGCCACTGTCATCATCAGCCTGGACTCTGGAAGGGGCCACTGTATTTCTCTCCTAGAGCCATGACAACAGAGTGTAAAGGACTCGATGGTCTAAGCCACAGAAATGTATTTCCTCGCAGTTCTGGAGCCCTAGAAATACAAGGTGCAGTGTTGTTAGATTTGGCTAAATAAGGCTACTCATCTAGAAGACCCAGGTTCCAATTCCCAACACCTACGTGGCAACTCACTGTCATTTGTAGCTTCAGCCCCAGAGGATCTGACACCATCTTCTGTCCATCATATGTTCCAAGCATACATATGGTGTACAAACATAACATACGTTTGATGATACAAACATCAAGACACACAAAATAAAAATCAGGTAAAACAAGGATAAGGCTTCTGATGGCTTGTAGATGGAGCACTTCTCTGGTACCTCCACATGATGGTTGCTCTGTCATTGTTTAAATACTGCCATCCACCTGGTTGGTCACTCTGTCATGTGTTCAGACAGTCCTCCACATGATGGTCACTGTCATGTGTTCAGACACTGTCCTCCACAAGGTGGTCACTCTATCATGTGTTCAGACACTGTCTTAATTTTCTTTTATTCTGGGGATACCAACCCTGTTGGGCTAACACCTGAATGAGCTATTTCAGTTGAATTTTTCCTTTAAGGACCCAGTTTTCAAATGTAGTCTCAATCTGAAGGGTTGGGGGCACTTGAGCATTTCAGTCTGGGGAAAGGGCTATAAGTCAGCCCAGTATAGTCCTCTAATTGATCTCTTAGCTTTCCTTCAGCAACCTGTTCTTCAGGCATGAGCAAGGGCTTGTCAGTTCAGAGACCTTTAGTGTCGTCTCAGCTCCTCTCCGAGTAAAGGCCAAGCCCTTAGTGTCCCCTCTAGGACCCTAGACTAGCTGCCCTTTCTTACCCACTCTTCACCTCTCTCATCGTTTGTACCTTCACTGCGCCCTCCTCAAGTCCCGCAGCCCCACTGTCCCTGGCCCTGCATGGAGAGTGATACATTTGCTCCTTCCTGGTGTTTTCGCACGAGTGTTCCATCCTGAGCATTCACTCCAGACAGCCTCTGGCTCTGATGTCTCTCTCCTGTGAAGCAGTCTCTGCTGAGGGGGCTTCAGGTTGTGTCTTTCTTTACTTTGCTCCGTGGCCCTTGGTGCATTCTAATACACTCCCAACTAGTAAGTCTCTCTGTGTCAATCTCCTACAGAATACTCATCCTGAATTGGACAGTTGGAGAAGGATTTTTGTTTTGTTTTGTTTTTCACTCCGTTGTGCTGGAATAGCCCAGTCTCATAGTAGGTGCTCGTTATTTCTTAAATGAATACCACATTACTTCCCATCATCCCACATTCTCCTAAATGAATGAGCGTGCATCAGAAGAGAATGTCAGAAAAGTAGAAATAGGCATCATGATGTGTTTGAGAGAAAAGCACACTCGCCAGAGAGGAAACTTTGTTCAGTTGTCCTAGACAAGAAAGAAAGTAATGCATAATGGCAGGGGTCGGGTGCACATGTGGGCCACTGAGGAGGGGGTTTGTGAGTACCCAGTTAAGCTGAACTTATAGCCTTTCCTACTCATGCTTCAGAACGATTGCAGTCTGCATTTCTCAGCCTTGGTTGAGAGGAATTGTTCTCTGGGATTGTTCAATCAAGAATCGTTTTCTTGCAGGTTGCCTCCTCCCTTCCAGGGCACACGATGGCTTTGCCCTTTTATCAGAGGTCCCACCAGCACTATGATCTCAGTTACCGTAACAAGGACCTGCGCACCACCATGAGCCACTACCAACAGGAGAAGAAGCGCTCTGCCATCTACACCCATGGCTCCACCGCCTACAGCAGCCGGTCCTCTGCCGCACACCGCCAGGAGTCAGAGGCCTTTAGTCAAGCGTCAGCCGCCTCCTACCAGCAGCAGGCTGCGCAGGCCTACAGTCTTGGAGCGTCCCAGTACTCTCTAGGGTCTGAAGTCAGCCGGAAGACAGCCTCGGCATACGATTATGGCTATTCCCATGGGTATGTCAGGAGCAGCCTTCCAACCTTGGGCACATGCTCTGATTAATCACGTTTCCTGTCTTAAATATGGCAACGCTGTTATACGGGGTGTGGAGGGAGACCTGAGCACCGTGTCTTACCTTTCCCCTTTTATTGTCTGGTTGAAATTCACGGGTTTAGAGTCTCACTGGAGAGTCTTGCCTGAGCCATCCACTGCGGTGATATTTCTACCAGGCAAGTTTTGGTTACTTTGGCAGCAACAGAGCCAGAAAACATTTTGACACCCAGCAGGTTTCCTGGCTCCCATAATGCTTCTGCTTAGAATAAAAGCCAATACAGAATTTAAAATTCACAGGTGCCAGGAAACTAATCTACAGCAGAGATGCACTGGAATTTTTCTGAAAACCAATACTCAAAATTCTGAGTTATTATTCAAGCAACAAATATTTTCTTTCCTCTTTCTTTCTTTCTTTCCTTCTTCCTCCCTCCCTCCTTCCCTCTCTCCCTCCCTCCCTCCCTTCCTTCCTTTCTTTCTTTTTGGTTTTTTCAAGACAGGGTTTCTCTTGTGTAGTTTTGGTGGCTCTCCTGGATCTTGCTCTGTAGACCAGGCTGGCCTCAAACTCACAGAGATCCACCTGGCTCTGCCTCCCGAGTGCCCATCTTCCCCCACCCCCAAATAAATATTTTCTTTATCTGGAATATTTTATATAGAAGCATGACCTTCTCTCAGGGAGCCTAAGAATAATAGGAATAAGCATGCATTGGGCCAAATTAGATTATTGACCAAACACAACGAGAGAGACTCTATTCCCAAACAAAAAAGTTATGTTAGGATGCTAGGAAGAGTAAATTGCAGATGAAGGTCTGTTCTGCAAAGCAAACCCAGAATCTCGTTTCCTTAGAAACAATAAAGTTAACGTAAATGTGAACTGTTATGTCTAGAAAGTTCCAATTTGGATCTCTTTGCCTGGGGTGAGAGTTAAGGCTGCTTTCCTGACTGAGGCCTTCCAGGTAAGAGTGGGAAGTTTCCTTCTTTTAAAGTTATTCATTTATTTCAGTGTATGTAAGAGTGACTGCGTGAGTTTATGTATAACACTTGCATGCAGGTGCCCGCAGAGCCCAGAAGAGGGTGTCAGAGCCCCTGGAACTGGAGTTTTAGGTGGTGGTTGTGAGCCACACAGTGTGAGAGTTGGGGACAGAACCTGAATCCTCTGAAGAGGATTAGTGCTCTTAACTGTTAAGCTAACTCTACAGCACCAAGATATTCCATTCTCATCAGTACCAAAATTTGTAGGGCTCCCTAGAGGAACAGAACTGATCGAATGAATATGTATATTTATCATATATTCAATGTATATATTCATTCTATTACACACACACACACACACACACACACACACACACACACACACACAGATATGGTATTTATTAGAATGGTTTACAGGCTATGGTCTAGCTAGTCCAACAATGGCTGTTTGTCAATGGAAGGTCCAAGAATCCAGTAGTTGTTCAGTCCATGTCTTATCTGGTCTTGAATATATGCCCAAATCCTGAAGAAGTAGCCTTTAATGCAAGTGTAAGAGTGGACTTGCCAGTGAGAGTGAGAACAAGCAGGCAAAGAGAGAAAGCTTTGTTCTTTCATGTTTTTTATATAGGCTGCCAGCAGAAAGTGTGGCCCAGATTAAAGGTGTGTCTTCCCACCTCAAAAGGTCTGGATTAAAAGTGGATCTTACCACTGCAAATGATTTAATTAAGAAAACATCCTTCACAGGTGTACCCAACCATTTGGGTTTTAGTTAATTCCAGATGTAGTCAAGTTGTAGACAACCAAGAATAGCCATCACAAGTCTACCCTTGTCAACTTGACACACAATTATATCTCCTATGTCATGCTTAATTTCCAAATGAAAACAATAACTAGGTCATAATTATAGTTAATATGATGTAACTATCCCACATATAATTGCAAATGCATTATATATTTAACCAGGTCATAATTATGCCTAACATGATGTAACTATCCCTTGAACAACTGCAAATGCATTATAAATTTTCAAAAAAATTTTAGAATCAGTGACAGTGTTCCTTGAAAGATATTCTTTTAGTATCTCAAACCTAAATATGATAACCACTAATTTTCTTAGTTGATGTTGTACTTATGCATTTATCACTACATGATAAAGAAACTGAGGAAAGAAAGCACAAATATCTGTACAAACACTTTCTTAACAAAATATGACAGAAACACTTATGTCACTTATAATCTTTGGTTCTGAAACTGGTCACATGGTCTTAGCTGGTATTTCAGCTGCATTCCTCTACGACCCAATCTGTGTTTCCTCCACCCTCAGCAGTAACCTCAGCAGGTCTCAGTGTTCCGAAGAGCGAACTCATTCATCATTCTGGATATCGAAGAAGAAGTGTTACAGTGAGTCTGCGTCACTCAAAGAAGGAGGTTGCCATGACATTGTACAATGGAAGCTTCCCTGGGAGAAAGCCCGTAATTCTGCAGTAGGCTTAGCTGTGTTTGCTTGTCCAGCCACTGTGTTGGATAGATGTTTGTTTCTTCAATCTCAGACAGTTTTTATCTTACCGCTCTTAAGAATAAAATATCTTATGAGGACTAAAAAAACACATGCAAGATATACACAATTTATAACTAAGTCTATTTATAGTCTACAGAAAAAATTTCTGATCTTTAAAATGTAGACACTTCTGGGCTGTGTGGCTTGTAACCACCTGCTGCCTCTAATACGCTTCTCCAAGGCATCAGGCTTAGGTGGCATTTTTTTTTTTTATAATAAATGAAATATTTAAGTTGTCCAAAATTTAAGTATATTTGTCAAGGCAACTGGAAAAAAGTATCACTTTCAGGGCATACAAAAGGTGACTGGGGAATAATGCAGTGGCTTGTGTGAATTGATGTGGAGAAGGCAGAAATTCCTAAATCCTTGATCTACAGCTGTCATGTGTCAGTGACAGTGACCTCAAGGGAGCTTCTGGCAGGATCTATAACAGAGCCAGAGTCTGCTGGTGTTTACCTGGAATGTATGGTGGCAACACTCTGAAATTCCACCTGGAATGGAACAGGATCACTTTGCAATCAATCTCACTTTCAGAGGTCATGTTCTGCCATGGGCTATCCATAAGGACCTCATGTTGGCTGAAGAAATGGAAATATTGTCACTGAGGAGAATCTATTTCTTTTAGCACTTACTTCAAATGAGTCTCCTTCCAAAGGAAAGTTGGGAGGAATTAACACCACATGTGTGTGTGTGTGACAGCATCAGTCTGTCCTCTTGAAGAATGTTCCATAGTTGTGTTCAAGAACCTCACTTAGGAAAGCAGCTGTCTTGTAGGAGGATTAGATGCTAAATATCCATCCTTCTGGAATGTCTGCCCTGGGTCTACAGAAGATGGTATTTTTATGATCATGAAGTTGTTAGCTAATTTCTTGAGCATTTATTTCATTTTCCCAACATGGAAGAATTGATAGAATGTTCTACGTTTATATTTTCAAATGATTTTATTTCTTTAGCTCCACTGCAAACTTTCATGCTTGAACCACTTTAATTTTACATGGTTTATTTGGACTCTGTGCAGTATCCTTCTTTATTTATAATTTGACATCTCATCTCAAACATTAGTAATTGGACTGGCTCTTTGGGAGCATGGGGGATCTTGCCATGTAGGCTTAGACAAACTTTATATAGGAAACAAACTATAATCATTTTCCCATGTTCCACACCACACCTTGTTCCTACTGTGTATGGAGTAGATTGCTATTTATTAATGGTTTGCTATGTTCGAACCAGATGGAGTTCAAGGTTCTTGGTGGGAACAGGATGAGCTAGAAACAGTGCATGTGGGAGAGAAAATGCCAGTGCTGTCTTTTCCTCTTCCTATGAATGTGAAAGAGAAGGAGCCTGACATAACCTTGGAGACATTTCAGTCTTTTGTTTTTAGAACTAGGAGTAACAGGTGCAGGCTTAGAATCTTTATGATTTCTTCAGGTTGTTTTTAGGTTTATTCAAAATGATAGAATTTTTCCTGCTCAATGAGATTTGTCTTTGGATTGTAAACAGTATTGTTGGTAAAGGCCCCTGCGTTGGAACTGTGTCTCTCTGCAGTGTGTGTAAGCACTAGGCTAGGTCTATTTTTACCCTCTACTTTGTAGTTAGATGTCCAGTGTTAAGGTGGAAAGTTCGGAGATTTATATGTGCTCAGGGCTTGGCTGACCTCAGTTAGTCTCGCTTGGAGTCAGTATGGCTGTAGCACAGATTAGCTACTGACTATGTTATAAAACACATTAAATACCTTAGTTCATGGTTACATTGAGAAAAAAAAGACTAAAAGCAGCACAAACCCTGTCAGAATGGCAAGGTCGATGCGTTTACATAACAGTGGTATCAACAACAAATACAAGGCTCTGTTATGAAAAGGGGAATGCAAGGGCTCTATGTGCATTTTCATGCATTGTGTGTGCATGCACGATGGAGGCCAGAGGTCAGTGTCCGCTGCCCTCCTCTATCACTCTCCACAATTTTGAGACAAGCACTCTCACTGACCCAAGATCTTGAGAATTCAGCTCGATTAGCTGGACGGCTAGCTCTGATCCTCTCCTCTCCTTCCAGTGCTGAAATGACAGGTACATGTTACCACATTCAGCTTTCTCCATGAGTGTTGGGATCCAACTCATCTGCCCATGCTTTTACAGTGAACGCTTTACATGCTGAGCCACACCCCAAGCCCATGCTCTGTAACTCAGGCTTCTCTGCTTTTGTTCCATTTTCCTTCGATCTTCAGCTATACAGGAAGTAGTATGACATCTTTGTTTTGGTACTTAAATACCAGAAGAAGGCCGGCCATAGGGCTCAGTGGGTGAAGGTGCTTTTGCCAAGCCTGTTGTTGACCTGAGTACCATCCCTGTGCCTGGGGTGAAATGTCATGTCTGTCGGCACCTTCCTGCTGACCAGATAGTGGGGAAGCCTGTGGGAACTGTTTCAGCAGGCTTGACCTTT